CCTTCTGCCCAATGGGACGAGCCACTTCATGAAGTTCACCTAAGTCAATGCTTGCATCCCCTTTGATGAAGTATTGCTGGCACCAGACTCATCAATTCTCGTCTTTTTTCTCTCAACAAAAATATCATTAGAACACTGTGGGGTGTACATAAGATGATCTTTAAGAATTCTCATACATGCTCAAGATTGAAGGCTACACCATCATTCTCAATACGATATTTTTTCGTAAGCCCGACTTAATATATCCTCATCACTACAACCACTTCGATAAACATTGTAAATACTGTTATAGCACTCATTGAATCGACACCTTTTTTTGAATCGTATTATGCCAGTGTGATCTTATTATATTAGCATTTCTGGGAATATAGTCAGTAGGTGTATTTTCATTATAATAATTTGCAACACGTACCCAAAACGCTGAGCTCTTCTGATCATTACCGGTAATTGGATCGTCACTTATTGTCACATAAGCTTTTGCCAATTGCACATCCTCTTCCTTTGTCCATTGTGGACATTTTTTCCGACCCTTCAGCAGCGACACGTGTATTTTTTGGGATTTCAACATTAATAGTTGCTTCACGATCCTGGAATTGTGTTTCTGGAACGTACGTTTGAGTATCATGTTTTTTCCTCATTTGGGATCCGGAAGATTGACTCGAATGTTGTGGATAAGATTGCACCAGATTTTGACTACTCATGTATTGCCAATATTCAGGCGGCGGGTTTTGAAATAGAAATTGTGGAGGATATTGTGAATATTGAATATTGGTGGAATTTGGATAATTTCGGGATTGTTGTTGCATAAAAGGAAAATTTGACGGGAATTGTGGGAAAAATTGTGCAGGATAAGGAGTTTGTGAAAATGGTAAATTCGGCGGAGTTTGTGAATTTTGAAAGAATGGATTTTCATCTGGATTGCTAGGATTAGAACATGAGAAATTTTGAAAATTTTACCTGTTATTCGGATCCATTTTTTTAGGAAAATGAATAGTTGCTAAATTTTCTGGTGTATGAGAAGTGAGAAATTTTTTGGTGCAAGAGAAGTGAGAAACTGAAGTGTATTTATAGGCAAAAAAATTGGGATAAAAAATGTAAATTATTGATGCATATTGGAAGTGTGATATAGATAAAATTTGAATTTATATGTATTGGAAAGTGTGATATAGATAAAAAAAATAAATAAAATATATAAAAAAAGAAAAGAAAAAGAGTTAAATAAATTTATACTTTAAAACAAATAAAATAAAATAAAAAATAAGCATGGTACATGCTTTTAAAAAAATAACATTTTAAAACAAAAAAAAATGAAAAAGGATTAAACAAGGCATTCAGTGTATTAAACGTTATAGTG